GTACATCAAAGAAGGCGCGGTGCAATCGCAACCAGGTAATTATGTCTCTCATTTCTAATGTATTTCACCCATTTTAGGCTGCAAAATATCGATTGTCCGGCATTCGTTGGAATTCGCGCGGTCGGGAGGGAGTACCGAGTGATGAACCGTTGTCTAATACACAGCCATGACTTTCATTTGGGTCAGCGGGGTCTGTATATAAGTAATCGTCGTCCACCTGGAGAACAGGAAGGGGATGTGTGTAATTTGATGGACAATTTTAGAAGTACTCGCGAGCTAAGGATTTCACCACACACAGGTTCAAGAGACTCTTAACTACGGCAGATATAAGATCCATACGTCAAAGAAGGTCTCAGTCAGATTCACGTGGAGATGCGGTGAAAGTTAGGGATATGCTGGGAAATCAGGGAGAGGTTAGAATAGGGCTGAGCGAAAGCGTCGTTCGTCACATTTAGTTTGTTCCTAGGATTATGCTGCACTGCGTCGTCAGGTTTAATTATGTTTTTTTAGCGGACACCTCACATCAGCTAAACTGTGACGGGTACGTGCTTTGGTATGCTATGCTTTTAGACGACTGGTTTAGGTATAAGTTTCTTCTACGTTATCTTGCCGAATGAGAGCGGTGAGAGCTATAGATCTGTCGTGGGAGCCATGAAAGCTATGTGCCCAGTCTTTGCACAATGCAAGACTACAAAAGTTGATCGTAGCTTGGCTCAGTACAACGCGTTTTCAGAATACTTTCCGTCATCTAATGAGATATTTTGTCGATTCCATCTCGGTAAGGATATGAAGAAGAAAGGTAACCAACTAACTGGTATACCAACGTTCGAAAAGCAGCGCATCTTTTAATGGATGCGAAACATGGTGTACTGTGATAGTGAGGTATCGTTTCATAGATTCCTAGCCGCCGTAGAAAGTGGTAGCTCAAAAGCAGGTGTTTATTTACGCCGAAGTCGGTTACCATACCTAGAGCAATGGACAGGGTATGCCGCGAGGACTACATTGACTTTAAGAAACCTAACTACCGAGTGGGGACGGAAAATAGGCACCTCGAGACAGGCTTGTCCCCTCGGTCTTCATTAGTGAATGTATTAACGAAAGTGCTACAACGAGTAAGGTCACTGGAAGTGACGCATGGAATTCGCCTTGTTAAAGATTCCATGAGGGGTTTCCGACACCCAGCGGCATGCAGTCGTTTAAACCGTTGCTTATATGAGTAACGCCATCTGAGCGCAATATATTATTAAGTAACTGGAAGTCATGTAAAATTGAACGAATTGTTCACCAGAGAGGGTTCTTCATGGTCGTGGATAGTGAGGGCAAGGGTTATAAAGTAGTTACTGCAGGGTAAACCAAGTGTGAGTGTTATTTCTATGCGCAAATGATGTTTGCCCTGCTTGCATATAGCCAGGGTATTCGATCTGATTAGTTGGGATATTCAAGGTCTTATTCCAGATAGGTGGATCATAAACCGCAGCGAAAAGCATTAAGATCAAAACTCTACCGTGGTATTAGCGACCTCAAGAAACGTCATGGGTAAGCCATCAAAGTTGGTTCAAATAGACAATGTCCTTCAAAAGCTGGGCGTCTCTTTGAAAAGTTTAGGTACAGTGAATTACAATTTTCAATACAATCAANGCAGTGTTGGAAGCCACAAGAACAGCAAACAACACATCAATCTGTACGCAAGATTGGTCCGGGCCGCACATCATCCTGTGCAAACTGGACTGAACTGAACTGAACCCAGACAACCACATATTATTTGATAGACAGAGCTGGGCAACACAGACTACGGAGAGTAAGCGTACCCGTCTTCCGTCTACGAGCGTTAAGGTGAGAACAAATAATCCACCAATAGCTTCAATAAGCGTTTCGATTGAAAAGCGGAAATCAGTTTTAGTGAGTCGAGCAGTCGACAGTAAAGAAGACGAAATAGCCCTAGGTGACCCACTGGAAAATGCTGGGTTCTGAAAACTGACAACAACGACATCAACGAAGTACAAACTGGACGCTAAACGCAGAAGGCAAACTAATCCGACATCACCGATGAAGGCCAACTATTGCAGTGCCTGCAAATCTGTTTGGAATACGGTCGATTTGGACGATGAGCAACAATGGATCCAGTGCCAGAAATGCGGGCGCCGAACACACAGCTGTTGCGCTGCTTACAGTCGAGAGCAAGTATACGTTTGCGTGCATTGCCTCAGTCGATGAGCGTGGACGTCAAAAGCCCGAAGTGACTGAAAACGGTTCTTATAGTGCCACGCCAATTTGATTTATTTGTCTTTGGGTTATTAATTCTGTTCAGGGCCCATTATATGGGTATAGATTCTAATTGAGATCGAATGTTGTGGGGGCAATACCTACTTCGTTTTCGAGCCTATTCCCAGGTGGAATGAACACGTGGGTGGGAGAGAATTGGCGGATTAGTCTACGGGCACGCGATTTGGAGAGTTTCATGCTATGCCCACGACGGTTATCCAAAATATTACCGACGAAGTAATCACAGACCCCGTCGATAAAGTCAGTTAGTTTCAGAATAGTATTTTGAATAGCTTTTGACAGTTATATGGAAGGTGTTATTCCTAAAGATTTGGTATTGGTAGATTTCCCTTCCGAGAACTCGTTCATTTATATTAATAATAATAATAATAATAATAGGTGTATATTTCACGAAGCCCGTGAGACATGCACAAGGCATGATCAAATGATCAGAGCGAGCATATGTACAATAACAGTGTAAGTACATAGGTAGACAATAAAATCGGTGGGGATCAGAACGAAAACACAGTGTGCATGGAACACAAACCGGACAAGGTCACCAACGAATTTACGAAAGATGGAGGATGCATTGAAAATGCATGTCACTAGAATTGAAAGTAATAATAAGGCCGGTCTCGGAAGGTTTGGACACACGGCAACAGTGCGAGGAAATACGGAGAGAAGGTCTGTGGAACAAATGCTACCCGATGGTGCAGGCATGAGGACAGGAATAGAAAGGAGGGAATACAGCCAGAATAATACGTCGGTAAAGAAACATGTTTCACTCTATGCTGCAAAACAACTCGCTTCTGGAGACAAGTTCACTAGTTTCGGGGCTTCAATCGATCAAGGAGTGATTTGGATTATTTAGATTAATTAGGCGTTGGTCGATTTGATGTGGGACTGACTGCAAGCTAGACACCTAACCTTAAAAGACCATGTAGGTGAGGCAGGGTGTGCGATTCTCAACCTGGTCCGGAATGCGGACGCATGTAGTCAAAACAGTGGAAACAGCCGTGCCCAACAAACATTGCCGGGGCCAAATTGTCCATTGTCGGTGAGGACCCCAAGCCTTCGGCAGGCCCAAGACAACCGAATCTGGAACAAAAAGGCGATATGCCGTAGTCTGGGGTAGTACCCATCTGAAAAGGGAAGGGAGAGAGGGAAACGGAGCATGCGACGGAACAATACTAAAACTAAGTGCACACCTAGCACGTTGTACTAAAATGATAGGGTACCAGAGTGAATATAGACGTAAGACCATATCGAGGAGTTTCAGCGCGGTAAGAAAACAAAATGCTTCTGAGAGTGCGCACCAGAGTTTTGAATTCCGCAGATCCAGCTTTGAAGCTGAATCCGTGTACTGGTAATATTGGGTTGAGAAAGTGGATATAGCTACCTGGTGAGCATGTGCCACGGACGAGAACGGAGTGAATTGAGTGAAAAAAATCGAGAAACATGTTTTTTACGGTATATTAGATCACAATATTTCAGGGGTATGCACCGGACTGAATTGTGTTCCACCGATTCAGTTTTAAAACTGAATCCATGTACTGATTAGAATGAGTTTAGAAAGTGTGCACAGCTACCTGGTTAGCATGTGCCACGAGGAGGATTGAGTGAAAACATTTCGAGAAACATGTTGTTTAAGGAATGTTAGGTCACAATACTTGTAAAGGTATGTATTAAGGATTAATTATTTTATTTTTGTTTAAGTCAAATAAATTTTCCTGTAATTGTTTTTGATTGCTTGCTGCCTTATTGAAACCAGCGCTATGTTTAGGGTCTGTAATAAGCGAAATAGTTTTTGAGCAACAGTGGTCTCCAGTTGGGATTTTTTCGTGGCTTGGAGAATGGGGATTGATCAAGTGACCTTGAACTTTTTGAATCAAGCCGCGTTTGGATGCTGCGCGCTTACCGCAATCAGTAGTTAACAGGTAGCAAACCTCAACGGTATGGCTCTCATCTAGCCTTTCTGTGACTTCATTCAGGTGGCACGGAAGGTTAGTGAGACAGGATCTATATTTTAAGAATCCGTGCTGCGCCCCACTTAGCAGGGTGTAACGCAGTAGATGTCGACATACATGTTCCCTAATCATGCATTTGAAGAGGATGCTGGTTAGGCTTACTGGTCTATAGTTTCTTATTTCAGATTTCTGACCACCCTTGTGAAGCGCTACCACAGTAGCTGTCTTCCAGTCACTAGGAAGAACTCCGTCCGCTAGTGACACTTTGAACAGCAGGCTCACGGGTGTAGCAAGGACATCTGCTAGTGGTTTAAAGAT